GTCTCTAAGCACAGCTGTACGAGTTTGATAATCCTGGCCTTCAGCTTTATTTTTATGTCCTAACCCATCAATTAGAAAATGACAGTACCAGAAGGCTGGACAACTCCTTCTCCGCACCAGGGCGCGTGACAAGCACAAGAAAAATATAAATGCTTGAGCACAGGGCTGATTCAGGTAAGTGGGAATATTTGGCGAGTCTGCCTCAGAAAATCCCTGCTGAATAATGATCACGGAAACACCGCTAGCAAATCAAGCATTAGCTGATAGCTCCCTGCTCGTTACGATGCCTTGCTCTTAAAACCACACGAAGCAGTTACCCGAGTAAGAAACAGCTTCACATGCTCCAGCCCTTGCTCGTATTGGATTAAGTACGCCAAGTTTTCAACACAGCACAGTTGTACGCAATGATCTGGAGTTGCACTAACACACACACACACGCAAAACCCCTCCTGATTTTAAAATAACAAGCAAAAGACCAAACAGCAAGGTGTGCCTACCCTAAACTGCGTTTTGGCAACTGAATCCTTTACTGCCGAGTTAAGCACTACTTCCAGTGGCTGAAATTTGAAAAAGACATATCCTAAGGTTTATTTGCCAGCGAGAAGCTGGCCTCGCACCGATTCCCTGCGGAGGGCTGAAATGCACCCCTTGGCAACTCGTACAAGGTAGAAACATTGAACTGCTTAAGGTTTACCGATTCGGTCCTCGCTTTTCTCTCTGAAGAAGCACCTCTCAGTGTCGAGTCAACGCATTTCATTCCGTTGAAACACGAAGACCCATCTGGTTACCATATGAAAGTAAATCTCCAGGTAATTAGATTCTAAACCAGCTGAGAACTGCATGCTTACGTCTTGCTAAGTATAAGGTAATATGAGCTCGGCAGCAGTACATCTGCATGGCTCACAAAGGAAGTCTGAGGAGTGCATTCAAAAAACATCAAGTGACAGTTCATGACATTTTTAGCAGAGAAGGCAAACTTACAATTTGTAGCTGCTGTACCATTTCTTCTCTATAGGCCAGCTCCCGCTTCATCTGATCTTGAAAATTATCTGCAAGAAAAAAACAAAAAGTAGATGCAATAATTAAAATAGACCACACAGCAGTATTCATACAAATCAAGTGAAATCAAACCCAATCACTACTGAGGAACTGTGAAGCATTACAAAGTCCTTCACCCAATTAAAACTCAAGCCTAACAAAAACTGCTTCTCTAGCAGGTGATGCTGTAGACAACAGAAAAGCTGTGGAAAAATCAGATTCAGCTACTTCCCAAATTACCAAATGGCGGCTGCGAAGTTTCTGTCGCTAGCATTCATTCCCACAGTGATCTTCGCTACGGGCCAACCTTAGCATAAATCTGCTGACATCCATAAGGATGTCCAATATGTGAGAACAGAAAGCGTTCAAGGACGCAGGGTTTGATTTGTAGTTTGTAACATAAAGCTCCATAAACAGTGACGTGGAACTCGGAGGGGGACAAAGACTTTGAAAGACAGATCCTAGACAGCCGGGTTAATGCACAGGCCAGCCTTCCTGCTCCAGCAGCTCCTCCTTCCCTTATTTTCTTCCTCAGTGCCCATTTCAGACAAAATTTCCTTTAGCAGAAGATTAGCTGCTGTTCTGTGTTCCATAACACTGCTTGTGGAGGGTGGGGAAAAGGCAGAAAAATATAAACAACACTACTGGCAAGAAACAAAGAGCTTGGAGAGTTACATGATGGAGACCCGGGTGCAATGATGGACCGCTAAACAGAAGAGGAAAGAAAACCCGTTCCAACCAACAGTGTTTTGATCCAGGAGACTGAAGCCTGTCCTGGACCATGGAAGCACCAAGGTGAATACCAAGAGAAAACAGCACCAAGCACCTCAACACCCAGAACCTGGAGCAGGGCACTCAAAGGCCAAGGCAGATAAAATGGTTTATTTACAATGAACTAGTTAAGAGTTAAAGAGTCACGCTGGTTGCTGGGACATCAGCCCCGGACTCAGGAAGCCCGGGTTCAATACCTGCTCCACTGGACTCTGTGTGTCTGTCTCCCCGCGCCTCCTTTCATCACCACTAAAGCAGGAATAATAGCACAGCTTCATCTGCCAAGTGCATTGGGAGGACTGATGGATTAGACGACTGCGGGACACTTCGATAGCACACTAACGGGAGTCACAGAAACACCTTAATTGCAGTGGAAAGATTTGAGGCCAGGTGAGAACGAGCGGCTCCTATTAAAGCTCTGCGTGCTGCCGCAGCGCGGCGAGCTCACCCACTCCCAAACCAGCTGCATGGCCTCGCCATGACTTCTCAACCCCAAAAGCAGGAAATGGAAGGCAGGGAGCAGCTGTGGCACGATACAGTAAAGGATGGACCTTGCCTATGGGGAATGGGGATGTGTCCCCATCAAATGTGGGCATAGGAAGGGGCTAGAAGAAAGTACAAGGGGGCAGAGCTCTGTCCTCCTCTTTCGCACACGGATCTTGCCCTCTCTGAATGATGAGCAAGCTGTTGTTTAAAAGGCAAGGAGGCACTTTAGGACAACAAGAAAATAGCAATGAAACAAAGACTGAGAAAATTTGTCCAGCTGAAACCATCAGGATCCAGCACAGCCACACAGAAAAGGACATGACGACATTATCTTCATTAATTTCTTCAGATTTCAAGTAAATGCCTATGGAATTTTTCAGCCTACTGCCTCTACTCCAACTCAATCAGCAAAATAAGCCAACATAAATAAAGCAGGTTTGCAATTCCTCTCTTCCTAGCCCCGAAAAAGCCACACAGTATGAAAAGGTGAACCCTCCTGTCCTGGTCACTAAAGGCTGACAGATCTGTGCTAGCTACTATTGAGATCCTCCAGTTTCACTCCTGGAGTAGGCTATACTGAGAAATTATCCTTCTCTGCTCAACACTTCCCTCTCGATTGCCTCTTCACAGGCTCATCACCTCTCAGAACAAAAGCTCAGAAATCTTGCTCAATCCTGTGCTGCAAATGTCCAAGCTCACAGTGGAAATGCCGTGTTAATGGTAAGGACAGTGTTTTTTTCTGGCAGCATTTATCCAAGTCTGAATGCTTGCAGACAAAATCCATGAGCAATACCCAAGAGAAGAGATATGAATATTTAAATAGTTTTCTTAACACAAAATTAAATACTTTAACTAGCCAGACTACATCTCCGCCATTTTATTACCACATTGTTAAATACAGCCAGACAAAATGCGTGCCGGCTGACACCAAATGTACAAACCAGTCCAGGGTTCTGGGAGAATTTGCTGTCAGCTGTGCACAGGTGCTCATGTTTCTACCAGGACAGCAAATTCTTTGATTTTCTTCAAGTGATCTATCTTTTTTTACTTTCTTCAAGTAATCTCTGCATTGAGAGATCTTATAGGCAAAGGAAAAACCTCACCTGCAGCTTTCAAGTACAACAGCAATATAAAAAAACAAAGCTGCAAACAGCAGAAGACAAGGTCTGCTGTTTTATAAATTATTGCAGGCCACGTTTCAAGCAGGTACAAGAAGCCACGACGAAGTGTGTAGCATAGTACTGCTAAATAAGCTTGCAAGTAAGATCAGTTCATATTTAACAGTCATTTCCATGAGGAGAGCATGGAAATCAAACACCATTTACACACAACACCGCATAGCACTGCAGGTTTGATGCTACTCATGTTTAACGCCCCAAATGTGCTCAGTCCCAAATGCAAGACCCAAAAAAGGTGACTTCCAAGCTAATGCCAGGTAACCTGACAGAAGCGTTTTCAAGACAGATACAGCATTACCTTCCACATCTCACACACTGCGTCCCTGCTGAAACAGGGATGAATTTTCTCCTTTTTAGAAAACCTTGGGAAGACTTCAAAGCCAAAGGCTTCCTATTCATCCACCGAAAGCGCAAAGCACAGGGAGAACCACCACCACCCGTGGGAGTGAGAATTACCCTGGCAGTGTGTTCCAGTCCTCAGCAGCTCCAAGGATGGAACAGAGCTCCAGTTCCGGCAGCCACCTAGCCCAACGCTGCGGCGAGCCAGACTGGCATATAAAGCCCATTACCTGCCTGCTCTTCGCTCCTTTTTTTTTTTTTCCCCCCACTTTCCTTTAGTGGGATCTTTCCCTGGCTCCCCCCCATCCAGTACCACCACAGGCAGTTACTAACCTGAGGAACCTGGCAAAACAGTTTCTAACACCTGACCTAAAGCAGCAGCCCTCTCTGGCAGAAAGAGCCTGGGACAGACTCTCTTTTGGAGCAACACACAGTGCTCTAGAGGACAAACCGCACTTCTCTTGGATTTTACACTCACTTGCTTTACTAAGACCCTTTTTCTTGTTTTAAGTGTGGGGGGGGTTGGTTGGTTAATCTAAATCTGTAAATAGGTTTTACGGTCACTCGTATATATTGTTTATAGCACATTATCTGTTTTCTATTTTAATCCTAAAGAAAATTGACCACTACTTTGCGGTACATTGAAACCACATATTTTTCAAGCCGGCATATACGGTCGCCACTTCCTTGGTCGGCCGTACGTGTTCTTTTCTTTTATTTGAACTGTATTTCATGTGGTTTAATTGCAGTATTTATTTACATTGCAATTACAGAGCATTAATTTTACTGTAGAAGAACAAAAGGATAAATGAGTGACCTGAATGGCAAAATTCCAAGATGCCATTTCGCCAATACCACACATCAATGTTCTGATCTACAGAAATTATTTGAAAATTACCTCCCTCCCAAACCCAAGTAATGACTGAATTTATACTGAAGGATGAAGTTATCCTCCCTTCATTAATATCTGTATCACCTCCGGCAGCTCTTCTCCTGTATTTATGAAGCTGTCTACAAATTTTGATATTTGGGCTAAAGATGGGAGTCATTCCCAGTCCTCGCACTTCCTTGCTTCCCTGAACTTACTCTGTCTGATGCTACAGAAAGGGGAAAAATGTATTTTCTTTAAATAATAGGAAATGCTGTCTGTGTTCCCATCTTTTCCTGCAATCCAGGGAAGTGCAACACTCCTCGGCTTGCCACAGTGGGTTTTGGCTGACTGACTTCACTCAGGGGTACAGGCAATGCTGGTTTTCATGAAGGAACTTGGAGGAATAACAAAACAGAAGGTTTCTGAACTCTTTTAAGAAATTATGGTAAACCAACATTTTGCATTGAGTGCTGGTCAGACATTTCAGTCACGTGGGAGTTAAAAGAAGTTAGGAAACTGCAGAAGAGCCTGACAATCAGTCTGGGAAGGTTTAAATGTATCTGTCTTGGTTTGCTGTGAGTCAAGCAACTCCCCAGTGCTCCATCTGCATCTCACACGAAAACAAGGGCACAAAGGAAGAGTTTTAAAATGCAGAGTTTAAAAAAGAACCCACAACATCAACATTAGGAAAATACTAAACGGAGATACTGTCAGACCTCCTCTAGACTTCACAAAGTGGCAAAAGGTGGGTTCAAACATGCTTTTTCCTTTAGGTTGCATTTAATACTGAACTGGGGGACTGTGTGGGCAGGTGGCTGCAGAGCTGCGACAGCCAGGCACAGGGAAGCCGGCACGACAGTACCGTCTCTGCGTGCCGCTGTGTTGCAGACAGGCAGAGCACAATGGAGACGCCCTCATCACTCCAGCTCTGTCACGCTACATTCACTGCATGTTGGAGAGCCCTTACTGTGTCTTCTAGCCTGTCCTGATGTACGTGGAATTTCTCCTGGAAGCACACTTTCCCTTGTTGCTGCCAGTGTAATTCAGAAGGCTTCAATCAATAGGTCTTTTTCCACATCCCTGTGTATACAGTTGAACTTTTCCGACAGCTTCATGAAAACCCTACCAAATGTCTGTTTTGTTTTCTTTTATTTAACACGTGCCCAGCACATTCCATGACTCCTGGATAGCAGCACCCCGCTCATCAGCTGTGATGAAAGGGCCATCTCAAACAGCCCTGATCTCAAGAGGAAAAACCCAAACATGTCTTTCTACTCCTTAAACACAGACAAAATCAATTCTCCAGCATCAGCTAGAACCACCTGAAGATGCCAGTACAGCACCCTGTCTTCAAAATCCTCCAAGAAGCTGCTTAAGACTACCGACATCACTGTACCCCAAGCAGCCCCAGACATGTTTCTGTCTACTCACTGTATTGAACGTCATCAAAACCAGTAAAACACACACCAAAACAGACATTCAGCTTCAGATTTTCCCTAC